TGCAGAGAGAAGCCGTGTATTGAATGACAAATCTGTGAGACTCAATACGCCCACAAAGGTAGGCTGGGAGTGAGGGTTCCTGCCCTCCCTGGCCCCTGGCCAAAGCTTATGGTGGGTAGGGATGACCCCCCTGGTGCCACCCTCCAAGATGCACATTCCCAGGTGGGGATTGTAGAGCCAGTTCCTCCTGCTTCCAGCTTTTGGCGGCACACCTGGTTGGAGCAGGAACAGAATTGCCTGTCATTGGTGGGTGTTCTAGGCGGGATCACCCACTGTTCTACTGTAAAGTAAAGAAATAAGGACAGAATAAGGGGGTGAGCTTTCCAATGACTTAGTTCCTGACAGCGAAAGAGGAATTCCCATCATTCTTTCTTTTTTCCCCGTAACTTTCTACTCAGCCTTCAAACTAGATTAGTCATGACTGACTAGGTGTCAACCAAGCAAGTTATCAGACCTACAAACCTTGTGGGTAAAGGAGGACAGTTTTGGCTGCTCCAATGGCTTGTCAATAGCGGGGGCAGGAGGGGCACAACATATTGGCCCCCAAATTTTGTGAAGTAATTAAGAGCTAAAATGGCCCCACCCATTATTGTGTATGTTTCCTGCATCCAGTTGTCAATATCCTCTGGGCCAGGAGACCTTTGGAGAGTGATATGTGAAGAGGATAGTTACCTCCCAACACTCTTGGCATTCAGGCTTTTTAGAAATGAAATTCTTCTCTTCTTCAATGGAACTCTAAATTTTGGACTTTGATTCATTAGAAAGTCCCCCATCCACTCACTGGTTGTACATACAAACCTCCGTCAATTGAAACAACCTGTCCTTTCCAAACATCTGACTAATTATGGTTTCAAGTTCCCAAAGATATATTCAAGTTTGCACAACAAAGGAAAAACCCCAGATACAGCGTAAATCCAGTAAAACATAATCCTGATAAGAAAACAAGCGAGCAAATAAGAGTACAGGCTGAGGGGAGACCTGTATTCAGAAAAGTGCAGGTTTAAGAACCGTACCTCAAAACGGGAAATGGAATTAAATCTAAAACTTCTGGCAGGTATGTGAAAAGAAGGAGATGGTGGTTGCAGGGAGCAAGAGAAGAGAAGAGCAACATAAACTCAATTCTCCCTTTTTAAAAGAAGCCACAACATTTCACTAAGAGAGAACATTATATCTTTGAAACTTCAGCTCTAAGGATGGAATTCTTCATGGTAGATTTCTTTTATATAAGGGCTATTTGAACAAGATAAAGCGATTTGTCTTTAAAAGAAGTTTTAAAACACAAGGATGCAAAAAACATTCCTTAATGTTAACCATTTTGTTAAATGGGGATCTGGAAGTATAATGTAAAATCACAATTTCTGGTACTGGCCCATTCGTGGGACCTCCAAGCAATTGTTCGTACATATGTGCCATGCGTGGGGGTAAAGGTTGGGAGAACCAGGGAGAAAAATGTTCTACTTAAGCCCCTGGATTTTCTGCCTGGATATATAAATGGTATCATCAATCTTTTTGGCGGAGAACTTAAGAGAGAAAATGAACCCAGGAGCTTTTTTCGCTGGAAAACCTTTGGTTATGGAGTTTTAGTGAAGCTTGTTGCACAGGAAGAGCCTATGTCTTCCCATGGTTGTTCCAAACATTTCAGCCTCCATGTTATTTTCTAACATTCTTATGAACTAAAGTGATATTTCATGTTAACCAATCAGTCTCAAAAGATCTCTTTATCAAAGAAAAATCCTTATTCAAAATTTTTATTTGCAAAGTTTATTATTAATTCAATTTTTTACTATTTCAGCATTATATGGGGTACAAATGTAGGTTAGACAATTATTGCCCCTTTCCCTCCTCTGCCTTGTTACCAAGTTTTTCTTAAAAAAGGAAAATCAGAATCTAAAAAGCAACTTTTGTTCATTACTTCCTGTTTAACCATATTTTGAAGATCTGAAAAAACAGTTTCCATATTACAAAGGTTAGTTTACGGTTTTTAAATGGCTTCAAACAACCATGGCTATTTAAGTTATTTCTATGGTATCTTAATGTGCTTACATTTCATGTAGTTTCTTTTTCAGTGTTGTTTCCCTCATTCCCTTCTCACTGCATTATCTTGGCTTGATTGTGCTGTCCCGGCTAAAATTTCATAAAATAACTGGGGAGTGCTTGTTAAACATTTGATTCAAAGGGTCCTCTTACAGAATTTCCATCGGAAGGGCGCTGAATATGCTAGGCAGGTTTTGGGGAACAACTGCTTTTCACTAGCTGGGTCCCACGGGCCAGCCTCGTGTCTGTTCACAGTTTCATTACACGGTGGTGGACTGACGGTTGAATTGTTTGTCTGCCAACGTGGATGCCAGTAGACAACTGTGTATTTTAAAACTACCACTTAAGCCATCTGTTGTATGCCGCAGTCCCGGCACCATCTCCATAGGCTGCTTCAAGGAGTCAGGCAGCTGGAGCTCCTCCCTGGGGTTTGTGTTACAGGCTGCCCCGGCCCCTCTGAGCAAGGAAAAGGCATGCTTAGATCCAGGTGGTAGACATGCTGGTTGAGCGAGAACAGCCATTCAGTAACTGCCGCCCTTCAGCTGACCTTAAGCATGTGCATGCTCCTTCTTTCATCCCACACAAGTGCTGAATTAATCAAATTCTGGGGAGAAGCTACCTTACAGCGGTTCAAAACTAATTGTGCCTTGTTTGAGAGTCTCAAAATATTCAACAGTCCTGAACTCGTGGAATGTAGTTAATGTAGCCTCTTAGAAAGAAATAATTCAATTCGTTATTTATTAATTAAGTTTGATAGGAACATGTCTTATGGTGAAACATTTTCAAAAAGACAAAAGGGGTTACAGTGGAAAATTAAGTCTCCTTGTACCTATATTTTGCTACGTCAAATCTCCTCCCAGAGCAATTACCATTACCTGATTCTATTTACCTTTCAGGATCGATTCTGTGTTCATACCAAGCATTCTATAAGTGTTTTAGGCTAATGTAGCATGCTATGTATGTTTCAACCACCTTGTTTTTCTTGCTTACAACTATGCCTTGCGTAGAGCCATCCCCTATCACTACATATGCGAACTGCTCAATTTTAGAAAACAAT